ATTCAGGATCATGGCTTCCTTGACTGAATCATAGAATCATAGAATTGGAAGAGACTTCAAGGGCCATCCAGACTAATACCATTCTGCCATGCAGGAGTACATAATCCAAGCACCTCTAGCAGATGGCCATTCAGCCTCTGTTTTAAAACCTCCAAAGAAGGAGATTCTACCACACTCCAACAGCTCTTACAGTCAGGAAGTTCTCCTAATGTTCAGGTGGACTCTCTTCTCCTGCAGTTTGAATCCATTGCTTGTATCCTAGTCTCAGTCCACCTGAGGTATGGTTTCCCTCTTTTCTTACTGCCTTCCACTTTACCAAATCTTATCATCTTTTAAGTACAACAACCTCTCTTTAGTCTTCTTGGCTTCTAATGAAAGTTCAGGCTCCAGAGACTAGAACATAGAACAATGGATACATGCTGCAGGACAAGAGATTCCACCTTGACATTAGGAGGAACCTCTTGACAGTAAGAGCTGTTCAACAGTGGAATATGCTGTCTTGGAAATTGGTGGAGTCTCCTTCTTTGGAGGTCTTTAAACAGAGGCTGGATGGCCAACTGTCAAGGATGCTTTGATCGTGATTTCCTGCATGGCAGCGGGTTGGACTGGATGGCCCTTGGAGTCTCTTCTAACTCTACGATTCTATGAACTTGGAAATATGGATGATTCTGACTGAGGTATTTGATGATAAGTCTTTACACATGAGGAACTTATGTAGTTTTTCATGGCTACCTTTCTTTACAGTCTCCATTTTGGTTAATAACTAAGCCAAGGTATAGGGAATCTTTAAGTATCAATCCGATATTTGATATCTGTCTTTAGACATTTTCCATTTGCTTTCAGTAGACTGAATACTATGGATGAGTCTCAACTAAAATAATCAATAATTTAATCAATTGCTGAATGATGAGACAGGGAGTAACACCCATAGATTCAACAGGTCTATACTCTGATTGGGACCACTATGTGGGATGGAGAAAATACCTGAAAATATTTGAATAATTGGTGATAAACACACTTCCCAATTCCTGAATGAGCTGGGAAATCCTAACAAGAAGAAACCTGGATAGATGGAATAGAGTTTGGGATTTATTGGACACATACAAAAAATGTGTATATGTGTGTGTGGGGGGGGGGTGCACTAAAAATGCTAGGAAACTTGTTTTATGGACAAAGAACATTTTTTCCTGTGCAGAAAATAACCTAACTGTTCAGAAAACATGATTTTTCCTGTCCAAAAAGCCAGTGTGCATTTTCACAGAATAAATCCCAAACTGCGAATAGCTCTTGAAAATTATGCAGTTTTTGAGGACTTTCTCATAGCTGAGAGAAAACAGTATGATTACTCATTCTTACCTACATGAATGACATTTGTCAAGGTTTACATATCTACTACACCTCAATACAAATCAGGACAGTATTTGATCAGCCTGATATATGATATGCCACAATGTTTTGATAACTGATATGTACTACTATTTACCATCAGAAGTTTTGTGCATGAAATGTCATTCAGATGATGGGAAGGGTTGCTCTTTTTAAATACTGAAGCATTGTATACTTATTGCTGATGATTGTTTTGGTGGGCATCAAATATTAAATCTGAGAAGCTGTCAAAAACTAGCACAATGTCGGGGTCATTAATTACATGCAGTGTTTCAATACACAATACAATTTGAAACGCTGCACGTAATTAATTACCCTGCCATCATGTTAGTACTTGACAGCTTATGAGATTTAATATTTGATGCCCACCAAAACAATCAAGAAACACCAACAAGTCAAAAGTATACAAAACCTGGAGCTAAAATACCACAGTTGAAGGATGAATTTTAATTTTCAAGGAGAGCAAAACTAGATCTCTCTATGGCTCGAGATCTCTCTATGACACTAATATATATATAGCTCAACTGCACCTTCTGTTTGTAATTTGGTACAGGCATTCGGAGTTGTGGGATCTAGCCTTGTCTCTGGAATCCAACCTTCTCTGACAACTTTTATTGTTGAATCAAAATCACATTGAATAATAACACCTGATTAGCGTTATTTACAAATACACTGCCATGATCCTCACTCCAGGAAAAAGGTGGTGTATAAATTAAATAAAAAGTGGATATTGAACTCTTATTCTTTTCTGCAAGCCTTCCCTACACAGTCCAACCAAATTATCTCTGTCTCTGCATTTCCATTTTGAAAGAAAGAGCAGCCTTTTTCCAGGTTTGTAAGTTGGAGATGTCTTGCTGCCCCACCAAGGCTGATCAATGGCTAAAAGTCAGGCAAGGTTGCACCCAGGTACCCTTGACATTAAGACATTGTGTAAGAAGATGTAGGATACTTCATTCTGCAAAGCCTCACAAGTACTACACTAGCACCATTGAGGGTAATGCCAGTATAACCACCCAAAGGATTCTGGATGGCAAAACCCAAATCTTCTTTAGATCGGGTGCTTCAACATTGTGTGAGAAGATACTGGATTATTCCTTCTGCAAAGACTTAACAATCCCACATTGACATCATTGGGGGTAATATCAGTATAACCACCCAAAGGATTCTGGATAGCAAAACCCAAATCTTCTTTAGACCAGGTGCTTCAACATTATATGCCTTCTGCAAAGCCTCAAAAATACTATTCTGTCATCATACCCACCCAAAGGATTCTGGCCAGCAAAACCTAAACAGGTGCACCAACACACCAGACTGCCAGACCATTCCTGGGCTGACCATCACCACTTGACCATTGCAAGGCTCTGCTGAAGGCTTAACAATATCTGTATCTGAACTGAACAAGAAAACCTGACTTTCTGCACCACTTCCCTTTAATATAAGAGAAACCAAGATGAGAGTGTTAGGAGCTGTAACTCCACAACGTTCATCATGAAATGGCCAGGCTCCCTCTGATCCTCTGTTGAAAGAACAAGCTGCAATATTGACTTCCTTGCAAGGAAGGATCAATGCTGCGCAGCCAGCTCTTTCATGCTCAATCATGTCACAGCTACTGGGAAGATTATTATGGGGGCCATCAAAGGACTGTAAATACTCAGGCAGACTTGCGACAATGGTGGCAGAGGGTGGGGGAAACACAGGCATTTCACTGAGATTAAAACTGCCTTCCTCAAGACAGTAGCCTTCAAATGTACTGCAGTTTGGACAATGCTATCTGGGAATGATGAGAGATGCAATCCAATGGGATCTGGAAGAGTAGCAGGCTGGGGAAGACTGCATTAATTTCTCCCCAAAAGGCAAAAATTTGGACAAATTTGCGATAGCAAGTTTCCAGAAAATGTAGAGTGTCACTGGTACACTTAGAACCTATGAGGACAGGCTGCGATGCCTCCAGCTGTAGAATGAGGATGTAAATCCTTGCTAATTTTGTTCTCATAGGCGAGAATGACTAATTTAATTGGTTTGTTACCATTGAGAGAAAGTCTCCCAAAATGCACAATTCTCAAGGACTAGTCATAGTTTAGAACTCATTCTGTACATTAAAATAAGTGGA